TACCATGAAATACCTGATGAGAAGTAACCTGGAGCTAGGAGCTTAAACTGAATTTAGATGTCCATCTGCCACAGACTGAAAACCTAAGCCTTACTTACGTTTAGCCAGTGCGCTGAACACAACATGAAAGCCATTTTTCATTGAGAGCCTATTCTTTTTGGTTCAAGGAGGTCTGCATACTCAAAAACCAGAAAGTATTATTGCCTTCTAGAAAGGTCAGGAAACAAATAATACAAAGCCTATAGCATGAGAAAGACAGAGCCTCAACAACTAATGGACTATAAAAAGATTCATTTTTATATGGAATTCTAATAGACTTCAGTATCCTGCACAATGTTCAAACTGTATCAAATGGTATTAAACACAACTTCTACTGAAACTTTATTATTCCAACCACGCAAGTCAATTGGACTCACCTTTGTATCGCTGCCTGGTGTGGCACTTAGGGCTAAGATCCGAAATTGATTTGTGTATTTGCTTAGTTCCCTTACCACCTAAGGACAGGAAAGTTTCCGTCAATATCTTTGCAAGAGATTATTTGCTTATACAAACTATGTTGTTGAAAATATCCACTAAGTAGAAAGAGCTTAACAAAATATTCTAAAAAGAGTATATCTAAATGCAAGTGGGAACCAGGAACTGTTCAGTTTATAACCATTTTATCCAAGAACACTTAGTCTTGATTAAGTATATTACTTACATAAGCCCCATTCAGCAGAACAACCTTGGTAAATTAGGAAATGATTCTTCACTTGATTTAACAAAAAGATTAACAGCATGCTAACTCAAGTGAGGTGCCAAAAAGTAAGTTGAAAAAAAAAAAAAAAAAAAAAAAAAAGAAAAGGTAAATCCTGGATGATTAGTCCCATGAAATCTGAACAGAAATTAGATGACAACCACCATGCCAACCAGCATTCAGTTGAGTCTCACTTAAAAATGCTGCATTAGCAGTTGGGAGAATGGCTGAATATTCCTTAGACTCACCCAGGTTCTCATTTGACAACCCTCCCTAAAACCAAAACTGGGACAAGCAAAATAGCTGCTGAACATTCACACGAGAACCAAATTGCCTCCCTATGTCATCTTCCCACAGGGCTGAACTCTGCCAGGGCTGTCAGCAAACACCACGCCTCCTGACCAACCACCCTGCACAGGGAGGGGAGGGAACCGACAAAAATTACAAGCAATATAACATAACACAAAAGCTACAGTGAATAAGTGAACAGAGACCGAGGAGGAATTGAATTTGTGTTGACAGTTCTATGGAAAATCACGCAAAAGTATACCTAAAACAGAGAACAAAGCCTGCCGGTTTCACAGCCATGGGGACCGACAAGGGGTGATGGAAGAGATTTTTCTCAGCTGTAGCTAAGATGACTCAAAAGCTAACAAACACAAGTCTTGGCTCTATGTTACAGAGCGACTCACATAACAGCAAAATATTTTAAGAAAAGATTTTTATACAGTATTTTGAAATAAAATAACCTATAAGCTTAAATTTTTTGAAAATGAAAATGCTATCATTCTGAAAAATGATAGCAGAAAACTGCAACGCTGGCAAACCCACATGTATGGTTTTAACTCAGCAACCTACCGTCTCTTTTCCAGCATGCCAAGCTGGACAAGCACTAAAAAATACCTACATTCCTCTAAAGAGGCCTAGTAAGCAACGAGACACAACTCCATATATGTTCACAGTCAATGTCTCCAGTATATAAAACCGTAACTTTCTTTAAGGTCACACACTGCTATGAGGAGATTAAGCCAAGATAACGCAATGAACTCCTTGCTAATCAAGTCAAAGTCCCATTTCAAAAAGAAATCTTGAACTCGTTTTACTAACGTAAAGAACTTAACAAAAAAAGCCCACATTTTTTTTCTGAAAAAAATACCTTCCCCCATTTAAGAGCTATTCCAACACAGCACAAACACACCAGAGTACACCCGCAAATACAAACACAGCTGAAAGAAACAGCATAGTGACTTTCTTTTTAGTTACCCTAGTCAAAAAAAAATTTTGAAACAAAAATTAAAATTTTATTCATACGTTAAAAGCATTCCCACCTGACCTTACCAAGGTTTAATGCCGGTTTTACTTAAAAACAAGGCACTGATGCCGTAGAGGACTGTTTGATCTCTTTCACACACAGCTAAGGACCTGAAGGACAATCTCTCTACAGCAATGATGACAGTCACACTTTATGGAGAGCCTGTAAGTGATCTTGGGGAAGGTTTTCTGCAATCACGAGACAAGAGTGGGGTGATTCCAGCATTACCTGACAGTAGGCATGATTTCCAAGGGCTTTGTGGGCTTCATCAATGACCAAACATTTAATCTCTACAGCAGGACATGTTCCACGAGAAAGATCATTCACCATTATTTGAGGCGTAAGGAAAAAGACTCTCTTGGTAGTCCACAGTTCCCTCCGACTGAGGGCTTGGGTTCCCCCTGAAAATTAAAGAAATAACATGAGCGAACTGTTCTGCTGAGAACACACCGCAACACACGACCCGAGAATGATGGCAGAAGGATGATGGGGCTGGCAGACACACGTCAGCTTTGGGAAATGAGAGCCTTTTAAAGTAGCATGCACCTTGATGCTAGTCCCATTTTCAGGGGGAAAAAAAAGGTGAATGCAATGACTAGAAGATTTTTTGCATTAAAACAGTAAATCCAGAGCTGCAGAGAACAAGGCTAGAAAGCTCAAGATGCCCCCTAGCCTCCGGCAGCCCTATACCTAACCTACACCATCTCTGACAAAGGTTTGCACTTAAAAACAGGTTACAGATTCAGTCATTAAGGCTATCATTCAGTAAGCAATAAACTGCAACTCATGAGGTTTGCAAAAACTTTAAAGAAAAAAAAAAAAGCCTTTATTCTTTGGCTTATATTTCATACAGAGCATGTTTTCCGTGCAGACATTTACAGCTCTGTGTGGAAACCCCAAGGCTCTGTGAACCACAGGGCTGCACCCCAGAGCTCCAGAAAACATGTTGCAGTGTTTCATCACCCTTGTATTGGTGACCTGGGGGGTTAACTATTGTGAAACCTAAAATGAACCCCTTAAAAACCATCTTGTCCTAAGAAAATCTTTCCAGTGAGGGTGGTGAAACCCTGGCAGGGGTTGCCCCGAGAGGGGGTGGAGGCCCCATCCCTGGGAACATTCCAGGCCAGGTTGGCCGGGGCTGTGAGCAACCTGATGTGGTTCAAGGTGTCCCTGCTCCTGCAGGGGGGTTGGGCTGGGTGACCTCTAGGGGTCCCTTCCCATCCAAAGCATTCTAGGATTCTATGATTCTATGAAAAGACTTGGTTTTTTTTTTCCTTCCGCCGCTGTGGCTTTTCACGTTGCTTGCCCTTACCCTAAGTGGCCTCAATGTTTGCGGCTTCTCCGAGGCGACCCCGAGCACGGCCCTGCCGCCACCCTTACCTGTCATCTCGGCCATGTGCCGGGCCGGGATGCCCATAACGCGGGCGCAGGCCTCCATCTGCTGAGCCACCAGCGGCTTGGTGGGGGCGAGGAAGAGCACCTTGCCGGAGGGGAACCAGCGGTAGAAGTTGTACATGACGACGGCGGCCACGAAGGTCTTACCCAGCCCGGTGGGCAGACAGACCAGCGTGTTCCCCCGCCGGGCGGCGGG